ATTGATTTTTATACCCTGTACCCAAAGGGTACAAGGGTATATTAGTTTTGTGCGAGTGCACATGGAACACACAGAAGGAGGCTTGGTAGACCCCACAAAGTATATATATTCTTGATCAGCATGACAAGCCGAGTCGATATAACCATGTCCGTCTGTCCGTCTGTCCGTCTGTCTGTCCGTCTGTCCGTCTGTCTGTCTGTATGAACGCAAGGATCTCCGAAAGTATAAGAGCTAGAATAACCAAACTTGGTATACAGATTCTCCTGAGACCGAGAAAGGACGAGTTTGTTCATTTTTTCTGATCCACCCCCCCACTCCCCCCCTATTAACGATTTTCTATAACTCCCGTAATTCTTGGAATTTTGAACTAAAATTTGGTAGTCACATTAGGTTAGTAATTATATATCCGTATACCAAGTTTCATTATGATAGAATGATCGGAAAGAAAGTTATAGCCATATAACCAGGCCCAATGCACACATACATACATATGTGCAAGTACACAAACACGCATAAGGCGCGATTCTGATGGAAATGTAAATGTATGTATGCATGCATGGAATATTTTATATTTAATTAGTTAATATTTAGTTAATTAATTAAATTAATTTAGTTAATTAATTAAATTAAATTAATTAATTAATTTAATTACTTTTTTGTGGGGTGGTACAGGGTATTTAAGAGTTGAGCCTGCTCGACTTTAGCATTCCTTTCTTGTTATATACTTATATATAAATAAATTTGCAACAGCAATGGCACGTATAGTCGGTTCTTGGTTTCTCTTATTTAATATTTTGGTATTGAATATAAGCTATCTATTCAAGTAATTGATTGTGTTCTTCAAAGGCTAGGCTTATTGTATTCCTATAGCGATGAAATGAACTTACTTTTCAAAATCCATCGATTACTATGTAAGATGTCCCAATCATGTTTACAGTGCACTACAGCGGATGTTGATATTAACGAGAACAATTTTCGGCAACAGCGGGTGTTTTAGGTGTCGAAAAGGTGGACATCAAGGACGTACCCAGGGGAGGGGCAGGGGGGGGGGCGTTGCCCCCCCCCCCCTAGAAAAAATTTTTCCATATAAAGTCGACCACACGTTCATTATTATGACGCACTATTTCGCCTTAAGATGGATCTGCGTTGGATTTGTTAAAGTTTTTTCATCGATCATATCCATAAATTATTTTTTAAATGCATCGGGCATTATTTAATCAACATTTTAATTTTTCCTAGGAACCAAATCGTTGCGTTCCATTACTTTATAAATTACTTCATTCTTACTTCATACATTACTTTAAGATCAAAATGACGGCACGACTAGTTTTTCTGAAGAACGGCGATCATTTGCTTGGAAGTGCTTCGATCGCAATCAATTTTCAGCTGAAACCAGCTGCAGTTTTCTTTCGGTTCCTGTTACCATGTCATAAACATATTCTGAAGTACCGTTTCAGTATTTCATCAATATTTTTGAGTACAAATCCGACAACTTTTTTTTTAAGCGTTAGTCAAGTTATGCGATATCCTGCAGGAACAAATCTGCCTTACCAGCACAACACCCCTTTTTGGACAACATAAACGGCAATCGTCCTGGAGGAAACAAAGTGTAGGGTGTTCGGTGGTGCTCCATTGGCAAAAATTGAATTAAGTTCATAAATAATAAATTGATTGGCAAAAATGAATTTGAGTTCATAAATAATGAAATGATGACTTTTCAATTTCACTTTTTGTTCGAGGTAAAATTTTCAAGTGACTCACAACACCTGCTGACAACTTTTACCATTCCATTCTCCATTCTCGAGATAAAAAGGGCAAACGCTCTTCGCACACAACGCTTGGGTGAAACCCACCATCCACACTATTTCGCATTTCCCAGCGTTTTCCAGAATGTGTAATGTGTTAAGGGTATTCGAAAATAACACCAAGCCAAACATTCTTTTTGCCCGATATCTATCCATCGGAAATGTTTGTTACATATTTATAAAGAAGGGCAGTAAGTTAGAGAAAGGCGAAGTACCCCCGAAACCATCGGAAATCTGTATGACTTGTGAACTCCCTAATACGTAATATTCATGAACTTGCTCGAATATGTCAGTTTCATGCATTTATTTCGTTCTTGAAATTTAACTTTCAATTAGTTTTCAGAATTCGCTCACCATTGATTATTATAGTATATACACCATTTAAATCTTGTTTGACGAAATTTACACATATTTAAATGATTTATATTTTATGCTTCTAAATATTTGTATATTAAATGTTATATTATGTTACCCATATTAATCGATAGCCTATGCAAGAACAGTTAAAATCGCTTATGCCATTTACTTTCGTAATGTTTTTGTTTGTTTTTTCATTATTTTCATTTCATTTAATATAATATTTAAATATTGTTGTGCCTTAGTTTTTTTTACAGTGTACCAAAATTTGGCTTTAATATGTCTAATAGATTATCATAATTTTTTAGCTGCAGTAGATGGCCACACGACTGATGTTGAGCTGCCAGGGAATAAAAAAGGGTGAGAATATCGGAACCATCAACATTAAATGATTGCCAATTGTGGGACCGTGGGATCGGGACTTAATCAGTATCGGTTAAATCGATGTGGCCAGCACTGCATATACTCGTATTTTCCTTAAATACCACAACAAGCGTTTCCAGTTTTCTTATTTGATGTACTAACAATATATTTGTAAATAGTTGAAGTTTATACAGAGACTATACATATGTATGCATATTTTCATTTAAGCAATAATACTCGTATGGTAGTTTTACATATCAATTGAATGGCGTAAATATGTATGTTTGTAGACGCCGGTTATTTTTGTATTTGTTTTTCTTTTAATGGTGCTTGGATGCAACTTTGACTTTGGTTGTGTGAATGTACTATTCTATGCCCATTGCGGGAAAGAAATGCACATCAGATTACATACAAAGTGCATTAAAACCACACACAAGAGGCCAGAATGGATTTAGGTATGATTCCGAAAAATATTCCGAGTGTACAATCGGCCAGTTACGTAAAAGATATTGTCTAGATTATGTGTTTTCGCGGAAAATCATAAATACCTCTCATATAATTGTGCACTATTTTGTATGTCAATTAATTTTTAATGTTTTTTATGTTTATTTTCTAGATGCTTGTGGTTGGTTACCCGTAATTCTAGTTACAATTTTTTAAACAAAGTCCACATCACATTTCGTAATACACAACTACTGAGGGAGTTACAAAAATTTGAATGTTAACATTACAACAAATCGATGAAATATTAGAGGGGGAAATTTCCGGGGCTGTTACATCGACTAATTAAATAATGGTAATTGCTATAGAGAGCCAATCCCATCAGCCGTGCGACTGCTTAGAATAGTTTTGGATTTCTCAAATCGAATGGGATCTATTAGTTTTTTTTTTGCAATTTGTATTTTGTTAGATATTTCGTTAATGTAGTTAAGTATAATTCAAGGTACAAATACAAACATGCATTTCTATACAGCTATATAGACACACGCATATCTAGAGAGTACTTTTGGTATGGTTTTGTTTCGAGGAAGTGGAGATTATTGTTTGTAAAGCTTTTTCAAATGCCCTTGTAATTATTTTCGTTATTCTCTCTAAATAAAACTCAGAACGATCAAAACTAATCCATATACAAGTGTTTGTGTGTGTGTGCGAGTGTGTTTGGCCACTGTAGATGCCATCTTGAGAATAAATAAAATAAGGGAACTGAAATGAAATCAAGATGAAATAAAAAGTAATGGATTTTAATCGGCATTTGTGTTTTATTAATATTTTTTATGTTGTATTTTTTCCATTTATTATCATTGTTCTTACCAAACTAATTTACATACTAAAAAGTACTGTAACTATATTTACTTTTTGCATGTTGGATTTAAAATGTTTACTCATTATTTGTATGTATAAGCATGTATGTATGTATATAATTCTTTTGCGTGTAGCTTATTTAAATTTAATTAAAAGTATTACCTTGTATAAAAATAATAATTAGAGCATATAGTAATAGTGTTTTGTTTTTGTTTACTCTCTCTCCCTCTCTTGCTGTGTTTTCTATTTAAATAAATGTTATAGTTATTAAATTACCAAATAGGTTAAAGTTACGTACATTAAAAAATGATTTTTCTGCAAGCTGCCTGCACATGTCCGCCCCATTAAAACGCCGAAAAACGGCGCTGGGGCCCACAGCGGGCAGCGTTGCTAAAGCGCGTGGTTCTGAAACAGCATGCCCATATGTTGGGTATGGGTGGGAGCCCGCACCCTCATGCTTAATATTTCTTTATTTCGTTACTATATATATGTATATATATATATTTAATTTTTTTTTTTTTGCTTTTTTAGCCAACTAATATATTTTCTTTTACTACTATTCGTATTAATTATAAGCATTGTTATATGTATATGTACAGTTTGCTATGTAACACTTGAGTTTTAGTTGGTTGCGATCCCTTCCTGTAGCCTCGCGCACACAAAAGAAAAGTCACGGCAAGCAAACGATTAGTGCATGTGCCTCACGTCGGGTTGAGCTCTCTACATATATATACGAGTATATATATATGTTTATATATATCTATATATGCATAGGTGTTAGACGATCTTGAAAATAAGACCTAAATCGTAAAAGTTTTCATATGTTTTATATAAAACTAAGCGAACTTTGTTATTGGTGGCTTTCATATCAATTTATACAATTGTTTGTTTATAAGCAACATTAGCAAACAAATTATATCGTTATCATAAGAACTATTAATAAATTATAGTACATTGTAAACCCGTCGTGCGAACACACCAAACTTATAGAATATACTTCTGTGATTCCGAAAATGGAACAAAAAGTGCAAAAAGGCTCTGCCGGAAGCTGTTAAGTGTGCGCGCGATTTTTTCGACGCACTGTTTCACGATTTATAGTACGCCTCTCCAACCAATGCACGGTGCGGCCAAAACTGTTGCTATGACCTGTTCCTGGCTATGGTACGAGGATAATTTTGAATTTTGGTGTTTTGGTTTTATCGCTTTCTCGTTTCCAACATTTTACAGATATATATATATATATTCACACTGAATATTTATAGCGCATTACTTTAGGTATTTTTATACATATATGAAAATCTATATATAACCTATGTATGTAATTAGGTATGTGATTTGTTACATTCTGCTGTGTTTTCAACTAGTAGCGGGTTCTCCTTAGCAAAAACAACAACAACAAGCTTAGAGTACTTTGGGATTTCCCAACCTAATTAATGCCCATCAGTGTTGGCGATGGTGATACCAATCCGAAATACACCGGACGAGCTTAAGTCGTCTGCTTGCCCAGATTAACAAGACAGAGCGCACAACAGCACTGCGGCTGCAGCAACTGACCGAGAGCCACCATAAGGGGATTCGTTGTCGGTATGGGTCCGCCGCCATAAGCCACAGGTACGGGCGCTAGACTGAGGGAAGTGCCACTTGGCAGATTCACAGTGCAACCACTTTGTATTTGATGTTAGCTGTCCGTATCTCATCTATTGATGGTGGGTGTCATCGCATTTGCGTTCACTGTTCCAGTCGTTGTCACCGTAACTCCGCTGCCGCCACCGTTCCCAGCACTGTTTCCCCCGCCGCTGTTGTTATTATTGTTGCTACTGGGCATAACGACACCGCCATTATTCGCACTCGCAATCACCTGTTCCACAGTAAGCGCCTTGCTCACCTCCTTGGTGGTCGTAAGCAACGTGCCGGTATCCGATGTGCTTACGCTGTTCGAATTCGTAGAGACCAGCTGCCTCAGTGTTGTTGGCGTGCTCGTGCCCACCTGCATCGTGTTACCAGCGCTGCCGCCGCCAGACGTGCTGTTCACTGTGGTGCCCAGCGGCAAGGTGCGCGTGAAAATGGCTGAGTTGTTCAGACGCGTCCGTAACACTTGCTGTAGGCCACTGGGTCCGATTTGCATTTGCATCTGGCCAGTATTGTTCTTCTGCAGCGGCTTCACATTCAGCAGACTAGTGTAGAGAACACGCCTGTCACCCTGTTGGGTGGTTCCAACTACTGACGCGTTTGACGATGATACTGTCTTTAACTTTTGTTGCTGTTGTTGCTGTTGCATGCTCGTCGGTAGACAGGAAGGGCCCTTGTTCAGAACCACAGTAGTCGCACCGACTTGCTGAGTTTGCGGCGCCTGTGTCACTAGGTTGTCGCCCGCGCTCACTGTAGCCGTTGATGTGGTGACAAAGTTCAGCTTGAGATTTGAGTTCTGCAGATCCTTGAAGTGCATTTTTTGGGCCGAGTTATTGGCATTAGCCGCTGCTGCTTGTAACTCGCTCGCCGTGGCAATTGTAAAGTTTCCCGTGCCGCTGCTGTTGCTGCTGGTTAGGAATATCTTGTTGGCCTGTTGTGGTGTCGCTTGTGACGTGATGATTGCTGTTGGCTGCAGACTATAATTGTGATTGGCCGCAATAGCAGCTGCGGAATTTGGCTTCTGCTGATTCAGATCGGACACCAGAAGTGGGAACGGAGCCATTTTAATTACTTTGCTTAGCTTTTGTAGCTGCTGCTGTTGTTGCTGCTGATTCAACGCATCAACGTTGCTGGCATTGCCACTGCTTTCCTGTAAGCCGAGATGATCACTGTTGCCCGTGGCATTTACAACCAGCTGCTCGTCCTCTTGTTGCACCAGTTGCTGAAGCTGCTGTTTGGTCAATTGGATCTGCTGTTGTTGTTGCGACCCAGGCTGTCCTTGGATAACCTTACGCTGTGAGAACTTGCGATTCAATAGCAATTTGTTGATGTCTGTAGGAAAAATATAACATGAAGGTGAAAGTGTTTGGCAACAATTGATAGGACAACGTACCTGTATTTTCGGGACCATTCAGCTGCCGCTTTTGGCCCGCGCGATTCGTCCACAGAATTTTGTTGCCGACCGCTGTGGCTGGCGCCTCGGACGTGGTGGTACCACTTAACTGCCGCCACACGATCGGCTGCTGCTGCACCTGAACCTGTTGCGTATTGTTGCGCGGGGGTGTGGTCACAATTAACGGGGTGGCTGCGGAGCTGGCCACCACACCTGCTGGCAACTGCATACCGGCAATGCTGTGCACTGCTACTTGTTGCCCACTGGCCGTGTTGATGATGTTCACGCTTTGCGCTCCTGTACCGCCTGCTGAGGGTGCTGCACCGCTGCCATCAATTGTCAGCACATTCGTGCTTGGTGATTGCCCATCGTTCTGCAGCTTCACATTAGACAGCGTGATCACCGTATTGGGTCCAATGGTGCCGGGCATTTGTGTGGGCGTATTTGCTCCGCCGCCACCACCACCGCTCTTCTGTATGGCATAGGCAAGCTTCTGGACGCTGCTGGGTGCCGCCGTCACAATTTCACCGGTAGTTGTGGTGTAGATCATGTGATTACCGGTGGCGCCTGCGCTCAGTGGTGTCAGGGTGGTTTGCGCCGTCCGCACATTGGCCACAGACGAGACGATCGTCTGCGACGTTATGGCAGGAGAGGCACTCGACACATATTGTGTGATGACAGGTGTATTCCCAATGTCGCGTTGCATCTGGAACAACAGCGGTTGTTGTTGCTGTTGCTGCTGCTGAGGCTGCGATTGGCGTTGTTGCACAGTTACGTTGCGCAGCTGGGCTTGCTGCAACTGATGCTGCAATTGCTGTTGCTGATGGGACAATGTTGGTAGCTGTGGCTGCAAAAGACTTTGTTGCTGCTGAGGCAGTGGCGATGAGAGCGAATTGCCCGTATGAGGTGTTATGGTGACAATATCGCCAACGGAGGCGCCAGATGTAGCCGTTGCCACAAATTCCGTCGTTGTCTGCAAAGGAGCCCGTGTGATAAGTTGCGCCTGTTGCGCCACGTTCGCAAATTGGGTTAGCAGTTGCGTGACCGGCTGCTGCGTCTTTTGCAGCTGCAGCTGCGGCTGTTGTTGTTGTTGCTGTGTGATTTGCGCGGGTATATTGAGAACTTGAGGCGCTGTTGCAATCGCAGGAGAGACGTTCGGTACAGAAACCTGAAGCTGTTGCTGCTGTTGCGGCTGCTGTACTGCCGCATCGACAACGATTTCAGTTGGCTCCGTTTTAATCTCGGGGGTCTCTGGTTCTGCTTTCGGGACAGCCTGACTGAAGAAAAGTTGCTGTTCGCGCAGAGAGAGCGCTGTGGCGCCAACAGAAAAACTGGAACATCCAACGGGTCCATTGAAAACGCGTGCTTTGCCCCCACGATGGCGACCGGCGCGCTTCGAATCAGCAGCCCCTTTCGCTTTCTTGTCATCAATGCAATCCAGGAGTCCCTCGGCAGACGCTACCTCGTTGGCTACGTCGTCAACGGCCGCCTCGCCGTCCAGAATACCATTCCAGAAATTTGTCGCTTGGTTGAGCGCCTTGGGATCATCCATGCCACATTCCTGCAAAATGTTGTCCAGCATATTTTCATCGGTCTCGTCGTCCCCGTCGCCTAACAGATTAATGTCTGTGAGTGAGTCACCTCCGCTGAGATTGAAATCAAGCGCCGAGTTAGAATTTCCACCTGCGTCCGGACTCTTACTGCTGCCCCGCGTTACGTCCCAGGCATATGCCGTCTGAAGCAGTTGTGTATCTGTCTCGAGATCTGTGTACTTAAATGCGCTGCTCAGGAAGTAAGGATCGTCGTTGTCACTATTGATATTCGTCTTTCGTTTTAACTTGCCCTCACGGGTTAGACGATTGAGCTCAACAGTAATGGGCGTATCTTGTGTCCAGTCAACGAGCCCCGCGTCCACCTCCTCGCTGTCCTTGTCATTGTTGATATCAGACAATATATCCGTGGGCGTTTTGGGCCTGAAATGAAGCCAATCCCGGCGTATTTCTGACAGCAACTCGTTGCAGATGTCTAGGCGCTGGCTTGACGTGGGCGAGAGTCCGCTGTTGTAGTCGACCTCATCCATATCGGCATCGATGTAAAGATCGTCGGCTTTCACTGGAGCTGACTTCGTTTCCTGATGATTACAATTGCGCAAATTTCGTAAACGAATTACGTCTGGCATTTGATTGAGGCAAGGCGCATCATCGTCTACAGGAGCGTGATTCTCAGCACGATCGTCCAAAGTCGGACTCTGCTCGCTTAACTGTTTCTCTTCTACCTGCTGTAAGCTCTGCTGAGACTGCAATTCCTTCTTTACAGTGTGCCGGATAATGTTACTCAACTGCGCCAGGTTTACATCGTCTTCTTCATCATCGACAAGGTCCTGCTGCATGGCCACCGTTGCTATGCGTATGCTGCTCAATGGCTCGTTGGAGTCGTCCGCATCGATTAGCTCGCGCTTTATCGTCTTGGCCACATCTTCCATCATCGATGACGCCTGGGAAGTGCTCGCTGCAGACGCTACGGCTGCTGCTGCCGCCTCTGCTGCTCGCGCTGCAGCAGCCGCCGCCGATGTGGACGCTACCGGCTCCTCCTGCTGTTGCTGCTGCTCATCCTCCATACCTTCCACTTTTATCACATTGAATTTATCGCTAATGCTAACATTCTTATTCATATTACTACTACTACTATTGTTGTTGTTGTTCAACACGGTGTTATTGTTGGAACGGTGGTGCTGATGATTGGGTCGCGACTGCTGCTCCGACAGCTCCAGCTGCTTAACATCAAGCTTTTCACTGACCGCATTAATATCGGCGACCTCCTCTTGCTTAATCACTTGCTCCTCGGTCACACCTGCATCGTTCATGACCGACAGTGCCGCCTTCTGCTGCTTCTCCTCACTTCGCTGCAATGCCAAGGCCAAACGATGTAAATACACCCTGGGCAGCGGCACCAATGGCAGACTTTTGGACTCTTTACTTAGGCTGGTGCTTATGTTGCCAGTGGCACTGTCGTTAGCTAACTTCGTCCGCTTCGCAGCATTTAATTCTCGGAGCTGTTGCTTCATGCGTCTCAGACGTCGCCGCCTCATGCGCATGTCGTGCGGACTCTGTAGCAGAGTCAGGGCAGAGCTGTAAGCATCCAAACGGGATACATTCTCGTCGTCAGTGCCGAGCTCGTCTTCGTCATCAAAATCATCTTCCTCATCGACATCGACGTTATCGTTATCGGGCTGATTGTGGTGGGGCTTCAAAACAACGTGCGCTTCATCAATGGGCTCGACTTTAATTTCAGGCGGTATAGGGTCGGTCACTTTCGTCGATGTGGGCAGGTCTACAACTGTGGGCGGTGAACTTGGTTTGACAATTTCCTTCTTCGCCGGCTTCGTGCTGACCACACTTTCCAGAACAGTGTAATCGAGCTGTGACCAAAAATCGTCGAAATTCGTTGTCGCGCGATCGAAGAGCACGCGTCCACCGCGTCCCAGCCGCCGGCGGGCAAAGCCGATGCAACGCGGTCTGCAGGGAAAATATTAAAAGTAAATAAATAGTTAATTAGTTAACTCGGCGAGTCTAGTTCATTCTTGAAAAAGTTTGGTAGACTAGTTCCCCTCTCGTTTGATATAGACAAAAATAATACGACCATAGCAATCCTAGGTAGCAATATATCATCAGAATTTTCAGTAACTACTGAAACGTCTACCTTTTTAAATTAATTAATTTTGAAATAAATTACATTTAAGATCAAGACCAAATTAGTCTTCAGAAAACAAAAACTTTGAAACAGTTATATATTCCATTTTGAGAAATGTCGTTCCTACAGTTTTCAAACACTATTAATTGAAATTGAATGATAAATATTCTGAAACATGTAAAAGTTGTCTAAGTTGACTTCATTTGCTTGTTGTTTTTTTAAAACCATTTTGGACGATATCCTTGCAATATAAAATGTTTGAAACCCTTGCCACTGGTAAAAAAAAGGGGCCATATTCTTGAACGATATCGAAGAGCGCCTACGCAGCTTTTAAGCAGCAACGCACCTTTGTTGATTATTGATGGAAGTCAGCGTGTACCGGTACTTCGCGAGAGCGGTGGCATTCGTCGTTTCATACGTCGATGGTTGTTCCCAGGGCCACAAACCACATTGTTGTCGCGTCTGAAAGGTAGAATCCACATGTATTAGACAGCGACTAGAGGGTTTGTACAGCTGCGCACACTTACCCGGAGATAATTACAACTTGACTTGCGTCTAAATGCGAATGGTGCTTCGTCTTCGCTCTCGGAGCCCAACTTGTTGCCGTTTTGAGCGCTGCCGCTGATATAATCGTCCTCCTCTGTCTCAACATTTGACTCGTTCGCCGCTGGCGACGCGCTTTGCCGATGCAAATGGTGCAAATGGGACAGATGTGCAGGTGATACGCCCGCAGCAGGCGGCACCAGGCCAATTCCCGAAAAATACTGTTGTTGCTGCTGTTGCTTTTCGCGCGGCAATTTGTGCTTTCGCTTCTTATACGGCCGCTTCTCCTTACGACTACTGTTGTTACCACCTGCACTGATAGCTTCTGCAAAAATAATTTATGGATACGAGTTACAGCTAGGACTACTCTGAGTAAGGACCGCACAAACTCTTACCCATTGCCAGGCTCGACGTATTCAGGTACTGCGACGCAGGCGTATACAAGCCAGCTGCGGCCGTTGCGCCAGGGGCACCGGGAGTTAGCAATCCCGGCGGCAACACGCCACCAGGACCGGCCAGAAGCGCATTTGTGCCCACCGTCGCACCTGCCACAACTGTTGCGTTTTGTGAGTATTGAAGTGGATTATACACGGGTCTGTAAGTCAAAAACAATAACAAATATAAATACCAATTATTTTGTGAACATTCCAGCTCAACCAGACATTTTGCCCAACTCTTGTACTAAATCATTGTAGGTGATCAAATTTTAATATAAAATACAACGCTTCATAGAATGTGAGGTTATTAGGACCTAACCATTTTTTAAGGGCTTTAAGGTACGGTGTCCAAGGTGTATCTCGATTGTAATTGTTGTCAGGTGTGGACAATTTTACACTAGTTCGCTAATATAACAATTAGTGCTATATTTATAAATAAAATACTCAACAAATATAGAAATTATGCAAACATTTACTCTTAAAAAATAAATCGAAAATGAACCTTACTGTATTACAAAATTCTCTAGCAGCTAGTATATGTTTGCTATTTATACTAGGTTTTAATATAAGGTTGGCCTGCCTATAGATAAACCTACTTTCTAAGCTTGTTGCTCAGTTATGGTCTAAAGTTCTGGATTTTCTTATGAATAGATAGGACAGATGTGCTTATGGGATTTAACCATGCTGATATATACTAGTAGTATCTATAACATGGGGACTGGCACGCCGCTTTCTACATGCGATAAAACTTGAAACGGGTGAAAAGGGATTTTATCCACAAATCAACATTGAACTAACTAGGATTCTACTGAAACGCTGTACTTAATAAGACTACTATAATATAGCTAGTTATAACCGTCACAATAAGGTGTTTCATATTGATCAGATTGTTGGAAAGCCAGATATGTCTAAAAATCTTGAATCTATTTCTTGGGCGGCACTGTAAATACATGCATATCTTGATTATATCGGCTACCTTGTCAAAAATTTGATCGAATAAACTATGTATAAATCTTTAGAAGAGAGAAGTACACACCTTGACATTTTGAAATGCGAGTTGAGCTCCGAGTACACAGCACCGTTGAAGTCACCTATGCCCACACGCTTCTCCAATATATCCATTGTCACCAATAATTGATCACGTTTGGTCTCCTCGCGCCTTCTCACCATTTCCAAGATCGTTGTGGCACGTTGCAAATCGCGCCTGCAAATTAAAAATTAACAGTCAGAAAAGTTATAGAATAGAATAATCTTATAAAACATCTTGCCTCAGCTTAAGCATCTTTTCGTAGGATGCTTCGTCGTTTTTACGATTTTTGCGGGTTTGCATCTTCTCTGTACGCCGACGAAACGCCAAGTATGGATTATTGGAGGAGGCACCGGGACGACTTTCGGTTTTCACCGTGAGTATCAGCGGATGTTGCTACATTGGTGATTTTTTATTGTTGTGTGAGTGCTTGAATATGCTGCAGCTTTGGCACAACAAATCTTACCATTTTGAGGCGCTTGTTAAGCCAATAATCATATACTGATATACTCGTCTCATCATCCTGATTTAGCAGCGATTTGGCTTCGTTCAACGTGACGACTGTTTGGCCTGAACTCTTTTCAAGTCGATCCATCATTTGTTCGAATTTAAGTTCAGTAAGTTCCAAACGTTGTTGCTGACTCAGCCACTCCTCGTCCGCACTGTCCATGTCATAATCGGGTACCTCCGTGTCTAGGCCAAGCGCTGCAATATAAACTAAATTATTAACTGTACACCTTTAAGATATAGTAGAATTTTTTACGTTGCATGTGTATCATTTGCCGTGGCATTTTGTAATCAGGTGGATAGTACGCGTCATAAAAGGTCTGATCCGTTTGCAACACCTCGGGCGTGGGTATAATTAGGCCTGTGCAAATGGCACGCTGCAAATGGTGTTCCTGTGAAGATGGGAAAATATTCTCATGGTAATATATATGCACATATAAGCTTCAAACTAAGCATTAATTTAAGACTCTGCCACCGACTCAAACTCACCGACTCTTCCTCTTTTTCCATGCCGCTGGGCATTTGCGGTACGGCACGATTGATAGCTGAATACTCAGGCAAATCGGGCAACTCCTCCGCCAAGAAGATGGGCATCTGCTTGGACGGATCCAAGTGGCGTGCTCTGAATGACAGCTTTGACATTTTGTGGCTGTTGTTGTTGCTTATGGATGGGTATGGAACGTTTTCTTTTGTTTGTTTTTATGTGGAATTATTTGTTTTTTGTTTGTGGCTGATGAAGCTCTTAAGTTGCTATGGATATTAATCTGGCGCAATAGCTAATGGCACTTTCGACCACTGGCAATGATTTTGTGCTATTGTTGTGATTTGTTGTTGCTGCCGCTGACCCAGGTGTAGATGCTGACAATGTTGTTTTTAATGCTATCGCAGCTGCTCCTTCTGTACACGTCCGTGTGACACTAAGTTGTTTCGTTGTTCTGGTTGCTGTAATTAGCCTCACAAACGAAGCGCTTATGGATGGAGGAGATTTACTGCTCTTACGCGTATGCAACGACGCACTTAACGTCGAACGAGTCTTAGTAGTTGCTCTTATTGAGCTAGACAGTAGCAGTTGTAGCTGCTTGAGCTCCTTGAACCTAGCCTCTGCACCGGCAACTGCAACTACACTGCTGCAGGGGCTGCGGTGGCTGTGGCTGCTCCGCCAGCAAGTATACGCAGCCCCTGTGCCCGCTGGGAACGTGCTGTGGTGATACGTGCTGCTGCTGCTGCTCCTGTAACGATGAAGGTTCTGGCTCGGATTCGGATTCCGATTATGATCTGGAGCAATGAAGTGATTGCTGCAATTGCTACGATTGTTGTAGCTGTTGCTTCTCTTAGCGTTACACTTGATGATGCCTCGCTTCTTGGGAGCAACTGTGGTCGCAATGTACGCCGAATAGTGCAGATCGAACAACAGAACCAATTCTGTTGCTGTTGCACTTGTGTTTTTGGTTGCTGTTATTCTGCTTGCAAATTTGGTGCGAGGGTGCCAATCACTTTTATTGCTACCGTCCTGCCCCTCCTCCTTCTGATGTTCTTGTTGTTGCTGTCTTTGCTGTTGTCGCTGCGCTTTATGTGCGTAGAGCGCTGACACCAACAACACGGCCAAAGAGATTAGTTTATTGCAATTACGACGACAACGCAGTGGTAGCAACAACAATAACGAATGCAGCAATTGTGTCGACGACATTTTTCACGTTGAAATCGAAAAAATTATGTGAATTGGCATAATTACGTTGATAATATTTGCACATTTCAGTTCATCATTCTTTCTTAAATTATTGTGCCGTTTTCTATATCTCCAGTTGTGGTTTCTTTATTCTTCTTCTATTTTTGTTGCTGTTGCCGTTTCTGCTGTTTGTTGTTATCGTAAGGTGTCTGATAAAGATCTGCGAGGAAACAACAACAAAACTGGTAAGTAAACAAGCACCCACACACACACACACACACATGCACAGACAAAAGCCGATAGATAGGTAGCGCGCGGGAAATGCCTGTTTAAATTGCAAATCTCATAAAAACTCACAACTTGCGCCAAATACATGATTTTGTTTTTGCCAGCTGTAATTTAATATTTTTGCTCGCATTTTAGCCGCAACTGATGAATCACTTATATTATATTTTTCAATTAATTTAGAAACACAAAAGCACGCTTGAAAAATGCAAAATCATAGAAACGCCGCTCCGCCGATGCCAACATAAAAAAGGCGGCATAAACAAACACACACGCGGCGATTTCGCCCAAACAAACTCGTATAGTTCGCCCGAAGAAAAAACACGAAGCCTACGCGCAAATACGACGAAAAAAAGTAACGCTGTTCATGCGACTTTTGTTTTTCAGTTTTTGTATTATAATAAGAGAGACCTTACAGCCCTAACATACAATATAGCAATATATTAAATTTTTAACATACTTTATTGTGCTTTTCACACACCTACGCGCGCAATTTTGTTGATAATTCACTGAAAATTTTTCACAATATATAGCGTGGTTAGCAATGGCGGCCTGAGCCGAAGACTGACGAACAGACGCCCAAGGCTTCCAAGCCGCTCATTAATATTGACGGCGTTGAATCAGCACGAGCGGCGAAACAACCTGAGTAAATTATTCGTCTCTAGCGGTTACCAAAATGGTCATCTATTAATAAGAGAAATCCTTATATAAGCATGCTCGTCGCTCCGTGCCTTTTACGTACATTTACAAAACATATTTTGGTCACAACACACATAAAATTCGGCGACGTCGCAAACAGTTTTATCGGCATAGAACTCTATATCTGCGACTCCGAAACACCGTGTCGCCCCCTAGCGTTCGGAGTTGCAACGGGGCAAACGCAGTGAAAAAATTCTTCACAAACAAAAAATCGATTTACGTTTTTCACGCACATTAAATTACTTTATTTTTGGCTTTAAACACCCACAATTTGTTGGATAACATATGCTTTCACTGCATTTTTATTTGCCGCAACATTATATGCAATATTATCTTCCTGATAATTTTTTTCGCTTCAAAATTATTTTTCTACGGCGGACACGTTTTTACTTAATAGCCATGATACTAAAGGCGGCCATGATACTAAATTATTTTCGGAGTTGCCCATCGTCGTAAGGCATTGGATAATATTTTGGGTCGATTAGTTTATGTTGCATTTGGCCAATTTCCATGGGGTTTTTTGCAAAATTTACAGAATTTTTCAAAGAAATTATTTCAATAGAAAGGAACATAACATACATAGCCTGAACGAATTGTTTAATAACAACCAACGCAACCAGCCGCTGCTGTTGTGGTTCGGTATATTGTTGTTGCTTTTGCCCGCAGCTATCGCCCATCTCTAACCCGATTAGCTTCTCCACAAACCCAAGAATAGTGCTGCAGAACGTCAATAAGTGAATTCATTCGCAAAAATACGCCAATTCACTAAAAAAGTATTAATACAAAAATAACACAAAAACTAATTTATTCTATAATAATGCTATTAGGAAATTAAACAGTACTAAAAACGAAACCACCTTTTTTTTTTAATATGTATTTCTTTAATAAAACAAATCCGAATTTAAAGTGGCCATGTCTGGGAAATTTTTGTTTAACCTTCTATAAGAGAAATAAAATCTAAATAATGAGGGGACAATTTATAATTACTCTTGACCTGCACACTCATACAAGGCATCTTGGGCCAAAATTGGTGTTTCCAGCTCTTATTGTTTCCGAGATATAAGTGATTATGCGAATGGCGTTACGGAAAATCCCTAATAGCGTGGAAGTGGAGGGTGCAACAAAAAAAATAAAACAAACTCGTACTGCGCACACATGCAAGGCATCGTAGTACAACATTTTGTGTCTCTAGGTCTTATAGTCCCTGAGCTTCAGGTGTTCATACGGACGGACACGTCTGATAGACGGACTCGTTCTGACATGCTTATCACGGATATATATGTATGTACATACATATATACTTTGTGGGATCTACCATACCTTACATACTATATTTAACTTTCCGCAAACCTAATATACTTTTGTACCTTTTACGTACAGAGTATAAAAATATATATTATATCTCCATTGGCTGCATTACGTATGACTTCAGTCAATAAAGAAATTTGAGATTAGGTTAGGTTTTATTATCAAATCTCGTGTGCTTATGTACACATGTTTGTTTACGGTGTGAGTCTAATCCTATATTTTGGCGACCCTTACATTACATACTATACTATGTTCGTGTGCAGCATGGTCTAAGCTGCGTTCTTCTTTATACGGGATCCTGAAGATCTTTTGCCATCGTACCTTAGATGGCTGTTGCTTAAGAATCTTTCATGGCTATCAACCATTATGACTTTCCTTGGTGTTGACGTTCTTTATAGGGGGGCTGATTGTTTGTTGTGTTTAACAGAACAAGAGCCAACCAAAGAGCTGATATAATGTTTTACTCATAAGTCAGAACATGACGGGACGGATCCAAATCGAGTTGTTCAGCTTGACACTGGCGGTCGGACGTCTGTTCATATCACTATGTACTCCTTGTTTTGGACGGACACAGATAATGAGTAAAGTTCTATTTTCTTACTTTCTTTATTTATTTATAAATAGTATATTTATTTTTTAGTACAACACAATATTCAAGCTAGCATAAAGTTTTTATTTTTAAATGATATACAATTTTTTAATTTATTTGATATTTGGAGTTTTGCTCTTAAAGTAAAATTTCAATTATTGCTTCAAGTAAAATGTTGCTCTTTCCTATTATCAAAGGTTCGTTTAATTAAGTGTTTAATAAATATTTATTTACTAAGCCTGTCCTCATAGCTGGACTTCGATTACTATCAACATACTTGTAATATATTGACTGTTTGACTTATTTGCGGCATTGTTTGTAGTGGCCCTTCTCTGTTTAATATCTCGCATAGGTGCCATAATATAGTAACGTATGTATATTGATTGAAACTGTAGTTATACATAAATACGAGTATGTATTATTGGATGCTTGTTAGATAACAATTTAAAATGTATGTTGTTAACAGGCTGCTTTGGTAAGCTCGAGAAAATAAAATAAAAACTTAAACAAAAACGGAAGCACCATTTTCTCATAATGAGCGCGCAATTATTCTTTAAACAAAATTGAAAGTTCGTAGGCTGCAACGGAAAAAGCTTGGGAAGCTTTCGTTAGTGTTGAAAGAGCTTTAAAGCGTTTGGAAGCCTGTGCTGCAGCTTAGCTTAGCTGGCTTACAAAGGACTGGAAGAGGGAGAACTCGGACGTTCCGTCGTCTCGTTCATTGATAATCCGCCTTGATCCGCACCCACTCGTCGATGTTCTTGTTGTTGTTGTGTTTGTTGTTGATCTTCCTGTTGTTGCTGTTGTTCTTGCTTCGCTTCTCTTGCTATTTGTGGTGCATCGCTAGTGCGCCGCATCGACGTTCACATTTACACGTGGCTGCCGTTGTGGCAAAGAGCGTCGATGCGTGAGCAAAATGCGCCTTTGCCATAATCATAATACACTGGACAGCCTACACGATGCAGTTGCTCGAGAATGCGCGCGAGCCGGCTGACCACAATTGCGACGATTCCGATTACGCAAGACGGGCGGGCTTGCACCCTTGGCAATTGTGCAGCTGTCGCGGCATTTCGGCTCCTGTCATGGTTGCGATGGCGTACATGATGAAAAACTTTTAGTCAGACAGTGGTGTCGTATGTGAAAAAGCACCATAATGGGTTGGGTTTTCGTTTTTGTGAACGACATTGCGTATACGCACGCATCCCCCCCGCCCTCATGAGGGGGAGGGAGCAGGTAGAGGCAATCAATCAGGCGAGCAGTTGCGAAAGTGTTTGTCCCGCCTTTGGGCCGGAGAAACACTGTCGCACATCGTGCTGCCTGGCCAGCGGTTACATACTGATCTGCCTCGAGCAGATGATGTCCTGGTGGACTATGAAGAGGTGAGCGCGAGCGGTTAGGGGCTAGGGGTTTGCCGAACTGCCGTTGGCTTGTGGCTTATACATGCGGCACCGGTACGGTGTGCGGTGGATATGGGCGTGTCTGAGTGGTGAGAGTGGTGAGTGGTGCGGTTGGTGTTCGTTTTGTGAGCGTGCTGTGGTGTGGTGTGTTGGTGGAGTGGAGTGGTGGAGTGTTGTTGTTGGCGTTAAATTGTTAAAAAGTTAACAAATCATAGCGAAAACTATGTTACAACATTTGCAGCTGCGCGCACAGCTCGGGAATCGCTGGGGCTTTTGGGAATTATGCGAAACTGAACTAAAGAAACCAAAACCCACGGAAATGTTGGTTATTCTTGAGTTTGTGTTTGTTTGTTTTTTGTTTTTGTTTTTTGCAATATTCATCAACCAATACCAATATTTAAAATATTAATTGACAGTTATATTGGTAAAGTCTTTGATATTAATTTAGTGCTTTTTGTATTGTGAGGAATCTATGGATATGAGCTTCACCGCAAATAGCGATTGCATTGCTTAGTTTTTAAATTCATCGAAGCAGACATTTTGCATATTCTTAAAAAACAAATTATTACCGCGCCTATGTAATAAAAATTCAGTTTTGTGTATGGCATGAGAAAGTTAAATAACTGGAGGTACGAGTTTTTAAACGGGGCTGAGTGTGTGTGTGTTTCAGATTCAGGATCTAGACTAGTCCGTGTTCATGTTTAAAAAGAAAACCGAATCTATATATTAACTTTGGAATAAAATTGAAGTCGTGCGTAGTAAGTTAAGTAACTAATTCTATGTCTATTGTAATTGAAGAAGTGTAAATAAATTTACCACTCCGGTAATTCTCGGGGACTACAGACGAAGAGCTAGTGCATTTATTTTGTGGAACTATTAAAAATTGTTGTTTTATTTGGTATTATTGCTGTGTCGGTATTGACTGGTTTTCATTAATAGTTAGTAACAAATCAGTTGAGTTCGTAAAATAGAGATATATTACTTGAAGAAGAGAGACTTATGCATGAAAATATAGAGATATAAAGATAGAGAGATAGAGAGAGATTTTAGCACAGAGGTGATTAACTACAAAAAGTACTAAATCATAATAACATTTCGCTTTCATACTACAATTATGTGTTGTGATTTAATTTTGTCGGAAATTCTCTTTTACAAATGATATTCGTTGAGTGATCTTAGAAACTTTGAAACATATTAACTTGAATTGAAATACTGGTTACAAGAATATTGTCAACATTCACAAACCACAATATCGGTTATAAGTATCATTATATAGGCATATTTATGTGTTCAATCCACACAAACCAACATACCAGAATATATAACTATAGAAAACATAAAACTAAACAAAAAACAAATGTGTAATTGCAAGATAGAAATATACTAAGTGTAGATAGCAATAAATGTTATATGCGAGTATGGGTTTGTTGGGGCGTTTCGCCGCATGGGCGTGGCGTGGGCGTGTGATGTTGTGCATGTATCACATATTATATGAGTTAATGTCTCACTCCTGATATATAATACACGTACAGCCAACTGATTGTTATCCACGTATAGCCAAGGTGGCAATTAGCCCCTTCTATAGTATTATATATAAAAATGAAGTGGCGAGCGAGCGATCGAACGAGCGAACTATAAAATAGGTGCGCAACTGTACTTTAGTTAACTTACCTTGCAGGCAACAAGATGTTGGATAAAGTAAGCTTTGTGTGGGTTAAACATGCTCGAACTGTTGGACGGATTTATTAAGCATGACTTCTTTTAAGTATGAGATAATACAAAATGTTCTGTAACTAAGTCGATATAGTAAAATAGTATGTAGTAGTAACGAAAGCCAATGTACGAAGATACTAGAATATTTTACAAGCTATGTATTAATGGAAAGTGCAAACGAGTGGATGTGGAAGAAAACGTAAAATACAAATTTATTGATAAATTTTGCAATAGTAAAAACCTCTTTATTTTGTTCTTTTTTTATTTTAGCCAATTTTATATAATTATGTATAAATTAAAATTAAAAATTTGTTATGCCTACGATACAAATTTGAATTAAATAGCTTGGTCGACGAAACCAAAACTATACCAGTACGTTACAAAGTATTGGTTTAAAAACTATCACTAGCATGAACAAAATTGAGTCAATCTAAGTTCTTAAAGGAGCAGGGACTGGACCGGGTTCAATGGAGATGAGGGATGGACGACGGAGGAGAAGGGTATACGGTACTTACTAACTAATTATCACTTGTTGAAATAAACGAACTCTGTACAATGAACTACGTGTATTGTTTTCTACAGTCAGCATTTAAAACCATTATGAGATTAATAAAAAAACAAAATTGCACTATGCTTCGCCTCAAGGCAACCAGAACTAAAGGACCTAAGGACTAAAATAATTTATATAGAGCATATAGTAAAAGCCTTAGCTGCAGCTAAAAATAAAATAGCTGGCAGCTGAAACATACGATATTATGAACACTCCGCAATTTAAATGATTTATGGAGCCATAAGCATCGTAGCATAGCCGAGGCGATATGATTGGACAATGTGAAGCCAGTAGAGTGTTTTTTAAACTTAGAAGACTACTTAGACAATTACAAAACTGGCCATTAATAGCAATAACTAATAGCGCTATGTACATGAGAATTATCGACACTGGCATAAACAAGATGAGCAAATTTTATTTGAGTTTTTATCTGGATGTGCCCCTGATGGCAATAAATAGGCGATCACGTAATCTTTCCAAAGATTTTGATGGCCACAACTTTTTCAATCGATGATAACATTTGTATTTTTGTACTAATTATAAGTTTTTTTTACAAATGTATTATGTGTGTGTTTGAGTTTCCGTTTGAGTTCATGTGCTTATGACTTATATACGATTGTATTGTGTATTGGTATGATACGTTCAAAATATGTCACGTTGTTCGGCTTTACAAATGTAAGTAACAAAACAAAATCGTTCTACGATACCTACTACTTAAGCGCTACATGCTTTAGCATAAACAACATGCATTCGAAAATGTAAAGATTCGTTTTGTTTTTTTTTTTTCGAATCGGTTTTGGTTTTTGTCTTTGGTTTTCTTTTTACAAATGTTTTAGTTTCCATAGAGTGCAACAAAGCTTTAAACTAGCACTTATTCAACTACACTTCTGTCTGTAGAAGTTTTCTATGCATAATCATTTAACAGTTTATCAAGAAGTCAAACGAATTGCATGGAATCAGGTGCTTGTCTATATCTTCCGATTTATAACTACTATACTTGATGGATTTCGCCATCAGTGTGCTACGAAAACAAAATTAACTTCATTTACAAAAATCAATTTTGCTACAAATGATAGATGCGAAAATTTAGAATTAGAATTATGTACTCGTATAATATAATTAGAATTAGTTGCTTATTTGGTTTAAGTTTAAATGTATGCGTATGAGGTTGTGTTGTATTGGTATTTGTATGCTGTAGTATAGTGTAGTATATAGTAGTATGTGTAAGCAACTCTGTGTCCCTCCCAGGCGCTGGCCTGGAAGTGTTCGCTCTAATACTCGTACTTGTATAGCATCACCTACACTTTCTATCTGTGTACAAACTGTTTGAGCAAAATGCCTGTTAGCAATGACATTGTGATTGTTATGAAGTGTCTGTAACCGTTCGGATATAAATTTTGACTAGAATTGCACATATCTTCCTCACAAAAGCACATATGTCCATTGCCTGAACTTTCCATCATGCACACGTGATCGACCATGAATAAATTGATCTGTAACTGTGACGTACACATGCGTCGCACCACCTCGTAGGCTGTAAGACAAGCACACACACATACGCACAATGATTAAAATGTGGAAATAGAGAGAGCGGGACCATGAGAGAGAAAGAGAGAGAGCAGTTACGTCACATATTGCATTGCACGCATACAAATACAGTTAGCTTTGCTGGCGCCTCGCTTGGCGCCTACTCACGTGATCTCTGATGCCGCACCATCTTCACACAACAGCCGTTGCAGGTCATCAGCGGGGGCTGGTCGCGTGGCAGAGCCGTGTAGTTGAAGGGGTCCTTGCAGCGCGCATCCGTCCAGGAATCGCATTCATAGCAGTAAATGGAGCGCGCTGTAGCGGTACAGAGCACAAATTATCTTAGTGGGGAAGCATTGGCTGTGCATCTCGTTGTTGCTCAACATTTCGATTCATACGTATATAGTAAGTAGAGTAACATAAAAGGTGCGGAATGGCATCACAAAAGCATGCTACAGTCTCTTGTACTTGTATTTATTTCATGTTGTTGACAAAACACTCTACATGCAATAATAATTCAAACAAAACAAAAAAAAAACAGTTTATAACTCATACACAAACAAACAAGGCAATGCGTTTTATTTAATTACAACTGGGCGCATGATTGGTTGCTCCTCCTATTCCTAATAAATGGTTCAAGTTGGTTATACAAGTACCAACTATTAATGCTTTCGCTAATTCCTGTTCACAATGTTATTTTTTTGTACATTTTTCAGCCGTCAGAATAACATTTCAATTATGTATAATTCTGTAGTTTCTAGGGATAATCTCAGCCGAGCTTCAAAATATTAAAAAAAAAATTGAAAAAAAATCCTTCAAATTTGAGGCGATTGTAATATCTAAAAAGTAAAATAATTTATTTTATTCACATGCTGATCAGATTGGATTGGATTTACAAGTTGTATAATCATATATTTTGAAAAAGTTTAGAAAAAATTATCAATTTTTTCATTGCACTATTATTCCTGGCCAAGATTGGACATTCTTTAATTTAATAATAATTAAGTTTCCTTGGACGCTTATCAATTGGATAATAAGACAACTAAACTCGTCCTTAGTGTGTATATAAACAACTAATCAGAGTTTTAATCAACAGAATTTTTCGCATGCCTCATTAAGCACTAATAGAAGAAAGTGCATTGAACAAACTCAAAGGTATATTCTACATAAAAACATAGTTTATAGTATAGGTAGGACTGTGCTAATATACTGTTGGGAAATGCGGCAAGCTTGCACACACACACACACACACACACAAGTGTATATAATTAACACTCACACACACTCACACGCACTCACACTCATTCGTCAACGTAAACAAATTAAAAGCGACATAGTAAGTACTTATGTGCACTTAATAGACACATGAATGTGATTACGAGAAAAAGTGGAAGGTAGAAGAAAGAAAAGTTGTGTGGAAATGTCGCACCGCTCGCGAATCCGCAAGTCTTTCTAATGATAACGAGCTATAGTAGTTCCGGCTTTATTAAATGTATTTTGCACACTCGTCCTCATGTTGAATGCACTTGGGGCGAGAATGGGTCAAGTGGCAAGCGCCTTCGAGTGCTTGAAGGCAGGTGCATTCAAACTCAAAAATAGTGTGGTTTTAAATTGCGGCATTACATTTTGCTCATGGGCCGGTAAGGCAGGCTTGATTGCATTTCAAATGCAAAATAATTCTAAGTCGTTGGCCAAAGATCAGATAGCAACAAAAAAGAAAAACTAAAATGAATTCATTTTTTAAAATGAACTAAAACAGAAGGTGGAATAACAAAGTGTACAACATTTAGGAATAGTTCAAATGTCCTTTTTCACGAAGCATTTTTAAAAGCTTCAACACAAAGCCGTTAAGATCTGGATTTTTCGTTGCGAGCAAACCAATTAATTTATAAGAAACCGAATATACATATACTTATGCATGACTTTTGAAATATCATTTTCTTTTTTCAAAAGAAAAAGTTAAAAAAAAGATTATTATATATATGATAGGCATGAGCTATGCATTCATACTTTGACATTCGGCTGAGACATGTGGAATCCATACAATAGTTAGAAATCCAAATATTGCTGCAAATAAACAATGAAAAGAAGAACAATGTTGAAGAGGAGGAAGAAACAAATAACGGAAATCATGAAAAAGAGTTAAACGAATTGAAAATAGGAACACTTAGAGTGCTTTTCAGCTACAAATCTTACATGTACAGTCGTTCAGAGGATTATCTTACTTACATATGTAGTTTTTTAAGAATAAAGTTCAGGCTTGTTTCTATTTCGGAAATAGATATCGATTCCGAATCTTGTAGGTAAAAGTAAATTAAGTCAAATTCAAATTATATATTATTTATATAATATTTTACGTAATGCCCTCTCATGGGAAGGGGAAGCACAATTGTCATCGTAATTTCCATTTAGACAATCAAAAAATGTTGCCTGTTCTCTTCGATAGATTTTAAATTTCTTTGCCTTGTACAACTTTTTTTGGGATATATATTCAAAAGGTGATCAGATTTCAAATGCTACTATCCGAGCTAATGCTGTTCGTTAAAGCCCTCTCCGGACGAATCTCAAACCAAGAGTGTGTTACCAAAACACAAACATTTTTCAATAATTACTATAAGATTGACAAATTGTTCTAACAATTTAAAATAGTCCAATTATCCAATATTATTATTATTCTAACAAGATTCAATATATTTTTTAATACACTGTAGAGTTGGAGTGAAAAGAACCGAAACGGAATCGAAATCAGAAACGGAAACGGAAACAGCGCTGATGGTTAAAAATCAGAATTTAGATATGCTGCAATCCTGTGAACGGCGGTGCATGAAGTGGTTGTACGTAGAGGAACGATTGGCACACAAAATATGCAACAACCCGACTGGACCTTACGCTAGAGTATATAATGGCAGAACTGTTGGATGTATACATAGGTGTTGGGCTCTACATACAAAATACTTGAAGGTGAAGCAGTTACTTATGTGTTTATACAGTGTTCGACGCGAGGCGCAACTCTCAGCACATACACAAAAGATGCATTGATGCAGTTGGTGGAGAGAACGCTTCTCACTTTCAATTAGACGCATGTGTGTGGGTGTGACCGAGTTCAATCAACAGTTACTTATAAGTACACAAGCCGCTTGAAGGATCAACAGCATTTACAATAAACGGCACGTACGAAACTAAAGGATATTGAACAGAACGCAACAGCAACAGTTGCTGCGGTTTTAATATACATGGGAAGCGCTTTCGGGGTTGTTATTGTTATTGTTATAAGTAGCTTTGGTGGTAGTAGCCAGCTAATAATAATGTACAATAAAACATATGTATTTGGGTACACAGTTTGTCGGCATATATGTATGTATATAGTGTCATGTATATAGAGGTCAAACCAAACTTAATTGTTGTCATACGCAAACAAACCAAATGAAGCAATTTCGCTTACAAATAAAAACTAAAACTTACTTGGAAAACAATTATCAGCCGTAGCGAATTTTGCCAATGCCAAAATAACTTTTTGTACAAATTTTACATATATAGTACATACAGATCGAAAATCAAAAGAATTTGAAATGAAAGAGATTCCAGAAAATTAATTTTATATAAGAATATTACAGTTTGTGTGCTTAAGCAGAACCCTTGCTCTATATAGTAGTTTACTCGTATGTACTTGCATTTACTACTAGGGTACTAGGGGGTTTTAGTTGGCAACCCCTGCTAGGCAATATACTTAGTACATGCCGTCGCCTTTTTTAATTTTATTAGCATGTCACACAAACGCACAAGCGTTGTGTTGGCCCCCTTCTGATTCCTCATGAATGCGAACAAACCCGCCTGCTGGTCCGTCTGCGCGTCAGTCTTTTATCAGCTTTTGCTATTTTTACACTTCAAAGATTCTATATTTGTTTTGATGAGAGCGTTTTCAATAATTGTTGTAAAAATATAGCTATACGTACACTAAAAACGGACAACAAAATCATTTTATTAAGCAGAAGCAAGTGCGATCATTGGCCAACAAAATGCGCGTCGACCAATTTCCACCAAAGTCTATGTCTCTATGCGGCTATAGTATGACAATGTGCATGTTTATATAGTATGTGTGTATATGAACTATATATTCCCATCTGAGTTGTCGCTGCCGTCACAGCGTTTGATTGCCTATAAAAGCATTGTATATATCTCTAATATATGCCAAGGGGAAAACACTATATACTCGTATACTTGTATTACAATGTTCATCAAAAGCTGGCTTCCATTAAATTGCAATAATAATTGAACATTGTTGCAGTTACTTGGAAAATATAATAGTTATTATTTGCTCTGTCGGTTAAAATGATTTAAAAACATATCATTTACCTATCAACGCCAGTAGTACGTTACCGGCCGCATGCCCCCAAGTCGACATGTTTACGATTCTTCACCAGCTCAGTGTTTGGAATTCAGTTGGCTGTGGAAATGCTCTATTAAATATTGTTTTTGTTACATTTGATAATGCACTGAGTATTACGGTTTGTACTCACCTCAAAGTACACGCTATTACAAATATGACACTCCCTCTAGACCAGGCGGCACTTCGGGGCTGAGGGCCTGTTTCATAGTGTTCCTATCATTGCCGCCACTAAAATATAAATAAAAAACCTTGTTAGTCGGCAATCAATGTTGGTAGGAAATACGGTCTGCTTATGAGGGGGAATTCCAATTTCTATAATTCCAACTCGTCAATTAAGATTTCAACATAGACATTTTGTACACTCTAAGAAACACTCTAAGATATTAAAACAGACTCATATAACCCTTTAAATTGTATGTAAGCTTGTAATTAAGTCAATGTAAAATAATCATAATAACCATATAGATTAACTATTAAATCAAGTGATCTGACAGTGTGTAGGACCTTACATTGTAGGTCTATATACTTGTACGATATATAAGATTATATTTTTAAAGGTTTTCTTACATTAAATGAAAACTTGTTTAATTTGTATACCAAACGGTTCTACGATTTTATAAGACATGTCTTTTAATTATTTATTACTTTAACATTTTCATTGTAAAAATTAAATTATTTGGCTCAAAAGCTATCAATAAAACTGTGTCTAAATTGATGCACTACAAGTATATCTTGAAGCTGAGTTTTTCTTTCAGTGCACGGCTCTTTTGTATCATGTCAGCAAAGAGTGTGTATGGAAATCGATCCAAAAATAACAACGGGCAACCTCTAATAAATGTTCTAGGTCAATGTGTACTGCAGCCCAAGTCACGGCTGCTGGTGATGTCAATGGAGCACGTGGGTGTGGATGAGTGTGAGAGATCTTCACGGATTTGCTTGTGCATTGAACTTTTCGTTTATGACACTTTTCTCGGACCGCCAACTTGATTGGGAATAAAGCACATACATACATATGTGCGCCATCAATATTGGAAGCACATCATAAATGATTAATGCTGGCAGAGTGCAAGTTGGCCGGCCGTTCGATGCGGTTTATTTTCCAATTTATTTGTGGTATTATGTGTTTAATTTTTCATTTGTCACATGCAACATTTTCAACATTTTCTCTTGTGCCAGAAAATGTATGCGTTTGTGTCACAAATAAGTAGAGATGCGTAAGTGTTAGTTGCTCGCGATGAACTTTGGCAAAATGTCAAAATAAAAGTGGCAACAACAAATCGTGTGACAACGAGCAGACTAATTTTATTTATACACCAATGTATTTATGCGTGGAAAAAGTTCACAAATTTTTCACGTACGAGTCACTTCTGCTTATTTCAGGTTAAGGTTTTCTTTCTAATATTAATAACTTAAACACTTTCTCACTACTTTATGCAAGCCTTTAAACGGGGGACAAAACTTAAACATGCAACGACAATCCATAGGTGGGTCAAATGTTGTTGTTGCTGTTTACCCTTTGGCGTATAATGTTAAACAGCAACAAGTGTTTGCACTGACACTAGAATTGGCTCTTCAGAGTCCCTGTGTTGGTGTGTGTGAGATAGAGAGCGTTATTTATTGCTATTTATCAGCAGTTGATGTCTATTGTTTCGATGACGCGAACAAAGCGCAGAATTAATTCAAGCACTTAACAAGGACCTCTTCGTGAGGGGGTTTTAATTTAGTCGAACCCGTAGAGTGATGCGAGTTGGAAGAGAGTGCGAGTGTGATTGTAAACAACACTCTCCTGCAGAAGCTGCTCTCTTCCCTTTCGCTCTTTATTTCTCGCTCCTGACTGCCCCCTGCGTGTAACGGGTACGCCGCACAGACGGGCCGGAGCTGCTGCTGGTGGTGGTTGTGGATTCAGTTTGTGGGCAGCAATGACTTTTGCCGTATTGTATACACAGGACGTAGTCAGAGGCTGAGCAATTCGTTTGCCAGAATATGGAGTTTTCCTTTCATTTAATTTTAGAATAGCTTTTGATTTTCATCATTGATGCTGTTATGCTGTGACACTTACACCTCGCCTTGGGATACGTTATTGATTTTCGGCTAAATTTTTGGGGCACTGCGCTTTGAGGGCCCTACGACAAGATGACACACTTGCTGCGGTCGCCGTGCAGGTGTTTCATAATAAATCGATTCAGCAGCTAAAGTGGGCCATAAAAGACTAATGCAATTTGCATTTAAAGCTTGACTCTTGGACTCTTGGCGTTATATTTGCGGCAATTGCTGCTTTTTATTTCCGTTTTAAGTGGCTTTTTTTTCGTTGCGTGTTGCTGTTGTAGGTGGGTTACATGCCACAAGGTTATAACGTTCAGTAGCTTGACATTGGGTTGGTGGTATTGATTCTTCTCAACACATGTATTTCTGCAACTTTTCACCGCACTATCCGTTATTCAACGAATTTCACGTTTATCGACAGACTTTTTATTTATTAATTTCCATTCGAATTTGAACATTTTATGATTTAACCGATAACTGGCTGAAAATTCGTTCTAAATTAGTTGCTCTGTTCATGCCCGCGCCGATTTGTCTTTTACACCAGCAGCCACGCAACGACAACGACTAAGGCTATGCGTCGAATTTTCCTACACTCCTTACGTTACGTTACACTTTAGCTCTTGGTGTTTGCGACACTTTCCAGCACTGCTCTAAGCAGCCGGTCGAATCGAAGCTTTTCGCGCCAATGCGATGCAGTGCTGCGAAGTGGCGAACAGTAAATGAAAGCTCTTCACTGTCTACTTTTGGTCTTAAGGGGCGTCCTAGATTTATACCAATTGTAAACGCATGTTTATGTTTAATGGGCAAGACAAAATGTAAAATTATTATGTGAAGATAATATTATTTGGTAAAAATGAAAATTGGCAAATTTCTGAAAAAGTACTTGAAGCTAACTTTTCAAATGTTTCAATTATGTATTATGTCTTTTAGGAAGAAAAGCCCTTCATATTTAGCAAATACAACACAAAACAAGTTTATGGCATTTATTTTATGACGATAAGTACAATTCTGTATACATACGAGTATACATTAAACGCCTTTTTCAACTAGCTGCTTCGCTAAAGATCTAATAATATGTAATATAAAAGAAGGGGGAATCTTACAGGCCGACGATGAAATACACTGGTCATAATTTTGTGTTGTTTTGTAATATACAGATTCAAATACCTCAAAGCCCATATGCTCGCCTCACTAAAATCAAAAGAAAAGACTCTCCCTGAACGCACTGCTGGCATTCACAGTAAGATCCACTATCCGGACTGATCTCCAACTACCCAGAGACACTAAGGACCAGTGCAATCTATGTGGGACTGCCAATACGATCCATCGGTTAGGTTCTTTTACGTTAGTGGGATGAAAAATTCAGTCTTTTCATACAATCGTTGAACCCCGATTTTCCGCTTTTCCTAGTGCTCACCTACACCATAGCAGAAAACTTTAGTGAAAGTTTCAGCTAGTTTCGGGCTTGTATATAGAGAGGATCGACCAGTTATAGTTCATTGACCAACAAAATACCAACACTTTTTAATAAGAATCTTTATGAAGAATGTTGCTTTGGCTGAGAAATAGTTATTATTTGTAACAATTTATTTTTGAGTTTTGCCTATCACTTTAATGTGAGCTCATGCAAAAAGGTTTCAGAAAGGCTTATATTACAATTAGTGTACAATTTCTCTCAAAAATAAATACATAAATATAGTACATACATACATAATATTAACAAAGAGTACGCAGCATAATTTACGATAAATACGAGACATAAAATACATATATTTATTTAAGAGCATTCCTCTCAGATTCGAGATGGCCCGCCACTCCTCCGGATGGCTATCGATGGGGAAGGCTGCTGGCAATTACGGATACACCGGCTGGTGCTTAAAATTACTTAAGCATAGTCGCGTGCGCCTTCCAGTTTGCGTAGCTGTGGAAGGGAGAGAGTAACAGGGAGAAATAAGAAATCAGGTCTAATGAGTGGAATTGTCGAATTGGCGATGAATTGTTACTTGATGTGCGGTATTTACAATGGGAACTTAGTGTGGCGCGTGTGGCACTGGATTCAATAGAAATATTTGTCGTTCCAAGCGCATATGACTCTCACCTCACGTTCGTCGGCATGTGTGCGATACTTCTCGGCCGCTTCATTCGGTTTTGGTGGCGCCTTCGCCTCCAGCACCTGAGTGTAAATCAAAGCAGCCGCCACGCCCCCGAGAATTGGTCCAGCCCAGTACACCCAGTGCGATTCCCAGTTATCGGTGGCGAAGGCTGTGCCTACCGTTCGTGCTGGATTCATACTGGCGCCAGTGTAGCGGATGGTGCCCAAGTGCCCCAGAGCAACAGCCATGCCGATAGCCAGGGGGGCAGTGAAGCGGGAGTCTGTGAGGAATACACAGGAACCATTGCTTCGAGGAGGATCTGAAACAAATGTGAATAGTTCGCTTACCTGGCTTGTTGGGATCACAGGCACCGAAGACGGTCAGCACCAGCACCAGGCCCAGGAAGAATTCAATGCCCAGCCCCTGCAGCTCAGTGATGTTGCTTGCCAAGGAAGTGTGTCCCAAGCCATTGTAGTAATCCTCATCGATGAGTGTCTGTGGAGCAATTCACAAGTCAGCATACACATACGAGATTCTGATTTCGAGACTTACTCTGACGGCTGCCGTGCCCGCAATGGCGCCCAAACATTGGAACACAATGTACAACAAGGCACGCAACAAGCTGACACGTCCAGCTACCAGCATGCCAATGGTAACTGCCGGATTTACGTGCCCGCCGCTGAGGTGTCCCACGATCTAAAAATACACAAATATGCATGCATTCAAAACATTTCGCCAAAAGTTGGCTTGCGACACGTTCGAATAGCGCCGTTTGGCGCCAACTTACAGTAATGGCCATAAAAACACCCAAGCCAAATGCCAGAGCCTTGAAAAGACCATTCTCGGGCTGCGTGCAGGCGCCGCAAGCAAAGAAATTGAGTATCAGGTTGCCAACGAACTCCCCAATCAGCGACTGCCACAGCCGCAACTCCTTCGTCTTGAGCTCATTGAAGCCTAGTGAGTATTGTGGTTTGCCCATCTCGTTTGCCTCTGGTGCTGAAAAGCAGAAATATTATAAGTCGACAAAGCAATTAAACTAGTATTTTGCAAATAAAATTAACCCAAAAATGTTTCCCGTCATTTGGCAATTACATATATCCCTATTTGCCCCAAAGTTAAGTTTTATCTTGATAGGCCAACTTTAATGGAAGTTGTAAGCATACTATTTTTTAACCGTCTGTTTTTTTTTTATGTTTTGCTTCCTCAGAACATTCGATCGTAGGCTGAATCGATTTTGCCATTTGAAAGCTGGTGCTTCCCGAATGGTTCCATTTCAATCTAGATCAGTTCTGACAATGGCATCCACGGGAAAACCATATACATGTTGTAAGTCTTAAATTTCCATTAAGTATGTGCGCGACCAATGGAATAATAACTCAATATCACACCAACAGATTTTGATATTTTTTTTATTGGAAAGGATGTAATTTAAGGGTACTTTGATGAGAGTTTGATTAGATTCTACAAAGGAGGACATTCTCAATTCGCCTGTCTTTGTTTTTTATGTTTTTCTACCTCAGAACATTCGATCGTGCGGTGAATCGATTTTGATGATTCTTTTGCTATTTGAGAGTGAGTTTAGTCGAGTTCCTACAATGGTATCCATCAGAAAAATAATTTAAACAGACCACATTAAAAATTGTATTCCTGCTGTTGAATTATCCTCAAAACATAAGGTCACTTTAAATGCCAAAAAAGAGATCTGAAGTCAGTTTTTTTGTTGTTAAAATGTAACTAGTTTGAATTATATATGGGTGTGTTTATCATATTCCACACCTTCTTTAAATAATGCTTGTCTGCTCCCAAAGAATTTGAGTTAAACTGCTTAATCAGCACATTGATGTCCTAAATAACTTGAAGAAACCTTTCTGGTCATTTCTTTCTGCCATATAAGGGAGAAAGCTAAAAACTTAGAACAAGCAAGGTTCGAAAATATTGGGCTTGTATAGTATACTAATAGGTATAGGTTATAAGCTCGTGAAGAGCAAATATGCAGGAACACTCCGACCTGCCATTAGAGAAAAGGGAATGGCTACTAATTCTAGGGATCTAAAGAGAGAGAGAGAGAGAGAGAGAGAGAGAGAGAGAGAGAGAGAGAGTCGCTTTAGGAATAATATTTAAGTGAAAAAATAAAGTCAATTAATTTACTTATAATTTGATATCCGTTATGTTTATTGCTATCTACAGTCTTGTGTCGATTTGCGATTGAAGGGTGCCTTAGCAGTTAACTGCATGAACGGTTGGCTCTTAATATAGGCAATGGGGCATACGGTACGAGTGGTACGAGTTTGACTAAAAAGCGACGTATTAATTAGGTGCCGTCAATTGGAAGTGAACAATTGTCAAACACCGGCCATAAATGAGCGTTGCACTCATTTGCATAAAAGTCGCAGCTAGGCGGCCAGTATGAGTGCATTTTGGCAATTGTCTAGAAAGGTCGCTTGTAGACGACAGACGACAGCTCCTCCATAGAAGATGATGTCAACAAATACGTGGGCTGGTGCATTTCCGTTGAGTGTCGACACCCGGACACTGTTGTCCCCTGGTGTTTGCGGTGCTCAGGTTTTCGGTTGTCTGGCCTGCTTGATTTCTTTTGGCTGCCGCCCGTTATCAGTTTTATCAGCGGGAACACAAATATTTAATTGGCAACAGGCCATAAAACTTGAGCAAATACTTGGGAGCGTGTAGAGAGCGAGGAACCTTGCCAAGAAGGCGGCGACCACGCACTCGAGGCAGAGCAGCTGGCCCTGCTTGCTGTGCGCTTGGGATTAGCCACCAGTTGGGGCCCAGTTATGTGCGATATGAAGTGGCCAAAATCATGTACAGTTACGGCTTTCTAAAGTGGCCGGCCGCGTTCGCAGTTTCTGCTCTTATATGGAATGCCTGCCTCGCAACTCGGTCACGAACATTCGGACGGCCACGGCTTAAAAGGGGTTACAACTAGTTGACCGTGCCGGCTGAAACTCACTTACTTCATAGAATTCATTTGCTATTTAGGCCCGATCTGTGTAGCACGCACTCACTTACACATATCACATACATACATACATATGTACAAGTATGTATCTATGTATACAGCCCCAAGTTGTTTTGAATTTATTGTACAATTGCACAATTGGTTAAACCGCAGAAAATACACTCGCAATCAATCAAGTGTGTAGGTAAATGCTCAATGTTCACTTGCTACTCAGAGAATTTATGTTTTAAATGCCACACTCGAGAATTTCTGCTTTTTGATACGATTATTCGCCCAAAGATTCTTGCCTGCTTTACGTCATTTCGCTGGGAGTTCTCTGTGTGGGCTTGCGAGCAATATCGTTCCAGTATCAAAACATTGTTTCAAGTGCTCCGATACAAACAATATCTAAACACACTCGCATGTAGCGCCTAATTGAAAGTGCGTCTCTCGAATGATAAACAACAGACTTGACATCTAGTCTACGATTTGTCAACCCTCATCATACAGTTTGTAAATTAACCACCTATTGGGCTTCCCCTAAATAGAGAGCGGTCGAAAAACCAACTGGGCGCCTTTTAATTTAGGACAAGACAATTGAACTTCATGAAGTGACCTCAACAAGCAAACTTGTGTAACAAGTTCAAGTGTAAGCTGAATACCAATTAAAAGATCATTTATTAGCCATTGGACGCGTTTCATAAAAATAATCAAAAAGTTGTAAGAAATCTTATAAATTAGAATTCGATGGAGCCCAACTTATATAGTTTCTTAGCTTGGATAACAAAATGTATCTTTTTAGATCCACTTACCAAGCAGTTATGTTTTATGGAGTCTGGCCTGATGTGGCCAAATGTCACCTTTACAAACTGCAAGATATCCAAAACAAAATATTAAAAATGATTTTTTTTTTGACATACAAGTATTAGAAACTGTCCGTTCACTCATAAACTGAAAACACTTTATATACATATATTTAAGTTGATAAGGTTTTATAACCTGTACTCTTTATTATTAACTAATTATAGATACACACCAATTTATGATGGTGTGAATAAATGAAATGAATATGGAATATGAATATGAAACTTATATAGTTTAAGTTCATAGATCGACTGGGGACTGATACAGATTGCGATATGACTTTGTTCGATTTGTTTCATTTTTTTCAAAAGTCTATGAGTAGAGCACTGCGATTAAAGCTGGAAGTTGTGGTGTTTTAGCCACACTCGTGTTTTAGCTTTTCTCAATTTAAATTTGTATTTCCCGAGTATATTACCCACATTATATTTTGATTAAGCCATTCAACTATTTCCTGTTTTCTGCTTAACAAATCGCATGTAATTAATAAACAACTTCCGGCACGGCTAAAACCTATCCCATTACCTACATACTAGTTTCTAGGGATGACAACCGCAAGGTCCTCACACTCTTTGTGGCTTTTGCCGACAGTTACAGAAAATATGCAATCGGAAGTGGAATGTTTATACATTTTTCCTCGACACGAATTACAATTGCAATTGGAAATTTTTATTGTGGCAAAATTATATTTTTAATGACTTCTAATTGGATTTGTTGCAGGTTTTTCAAGCTGCTTCATGGCTTCTTAATTAGCGTCATTTTGTTGCAGCTGTTAAAATATTTTTTGCGTACTCCCATCGAGTCTTTTTCTGTTTGACTAATCCATTGTTCAGCCGGCTTGAAGGTGATGAGACACCCTGCTCATTAGAGGAGCTGCCTGCCCCCAGGTAGGTGGGCTAGGTAGGTAGTTAAGCCCCTGCAATTAGCAATGTAAACTGTTTGCACACTTTGTGTGGCCCAAGTTCAGTTGAAAAGGTGTATCTTGTGTTTTAAGTGGGTCCCGTTAGTGGCTACTGTATAATCATATTTATCAGGTTTTGATTATCAAGATTGTGATAACAGGTAATAATAATAATACCGAGACACAGTAGCTGGGCGATAACAACTGATTTCGGTCGATTAAAATGACAAGTTTGGCTATGTGGGTTATAAAAAGATTATTACTAGCTACAACCCAGAAGAGTATTTTCTTTAGTTCTAAACTATCTTTTAACAATCTGAGCAGAAATAATTTGAAGAATATAATAATAATATGACCTTCAGTTCCTAAGAAAATATTTATTTAGTCTTCTCAGCTTTGGGTTCTAAAGTCAATTCAAAAATTCGGTAGCCCTTAAAATGGTAAATTGGTATTCAAATCGTTTGAGCTTTAAGTCGCCTTCTGGCCCATATAACATATGTATAGGCTATAGGATTAATCTTATCAATTTAAGGTAGCATTTTTTTATGATGACGGGCAATATGCTTGTCTAGTGGTAGATGTAGATAGAGGCATTGAGAGAACCGTAAATGCATTGTCTTGCAATCCAATCCTTTCCTCTTCTTGGTACATTCTTTAAGAATTTCAAGAAAAATACAATACTTAACTGCAAATAGCATATTTATAAATGATTTTCTTGGGAAAACAGAACAGAAACTGAAAACATGCCAGTTCAATTACAATCATTTGCTTAAATCATGACCTATGTTGAGAAAGTGATTGCTTCCATCGGAATTTGAAGACGTAATTTAATTCTTTGCGAACACGCTAACTGAACAATTGCGTGCCGTTTCACACAATCCCCAAGTTAAAGTTTACACAACAAATCAGTTTGTTCAACAAATTAGCACGAATATTCATAAAGAGGCACACGAATGTAAAATGCAAAATAAAGCTGTTAACGAAAGTGCAATAAGCAAAGTATTTTATAAATAACTTTTTCCAATAAACATTCGTTAAAGTTCATGAACTGCTAACAGATTGCAGGAAGGATGAGAGCACTAAATAAAATTACTTGTGCAAATGCAGTTAAATAAATCTTAAAATGTTTGTTGTTTTCAAAACAAGATCGAGTCACAAACACAAAGACAAAGCATAGGTGGGGTCGGCGTAAAAGCGAAAAATAAATGCTGATGTAATATTGCCCGATGATCTAAATAAAGTGTCATTCTACTTGAGCCGGGCTCAAGACTCGAGAAGAGAAATGGTCGATGGCATGGTTTGATTCGGAGGTCTAGAATTGTCGTTTGCCACACACTTACACGTATATACTTGTATATACGACTACTATACATAGCTTTGTCACTTAAAAAGACATAAACAGTCATTTATTCGCTAAGCGGAATTCGTTTGCGGCGGCAGAGTCGTGGGTATATCTAACAAAAAGTAATAATAATAATAATAGGCGTACAGCAGTGAAATGACATGTTGGGTAGTAAATTTTTAATGGACTGTGATGAAAATATTAGAACCTGACTAAACCGCAAAAACTCATTCGTTGTGATTATTTCAAAGTTCTATTTATTACCTATTGTTACCCAGCTTCCGATTTGTGTCCTGTTATTTATTGTGACGCATAAGCTCTATATATATAATAACAATTTATGTCTTTACATACACTCTTCCTTTTTACAAATATGAATTATTATTTTAATGTTGCTTTCAAGCAATCCCCCACCAGATGTTGCTCCAGAACATTGACATTGAACAACTACAAGATTAGTAACATAAATTAAATTTTAAAGACTTAGTTTCCACTACACTACTAGTGTATTTTATTTTTTAATTTTCATGCTTCCTAATTAGCTACACAATAGATAATGAGAACGTATAGATAATTGTTAAAAGCGTACATATGGTTGGCCAATTACACGCACGGCTGCGCGCCACAGTTTTAGAATTCATTTGAAACAATTTTCTAGAGTAATTTTTGTGGCCCACGATTTTGAAAAGCACCACAAGTTGTTTTTCATTTTAATAATTTCTGGCAGCTTTTCATTATATTTTATTCTATTCCATTCCATTTCACTTGATCTTCATCTTTCTCAGAATATACATAAAGGCCTTGTGGCTCGTACATGCTACATAAAAGTCATGTGTATTATATTTTTTAATTTTTATTTTTATGATCAACACATGCGGTCCGAGCTTTGTGTTTTGTTTATGCGCTTTGGTCGCTGAAAGCAGAGTGCAATAAATTTGGTGATTGAAGGAGCAACAAGTTGGCAGGAAAGGAGGCGGCAAGGAGGTGGCCTCAAAACCACTAGCACTTTTATAAGTGATTTGCAAAAGACATTTTAATGACAGTCTAAAAAGCACCCTTTGCGTGTTATTAGACTTGGTGGCATTAGCTAAGAGAGTCTAATCTCTGATTGCAGATTTTACCTTATCGCTTCTTATATCTTCCCTTGCTTCGCTTTATGTCTCCACAGTTTCTCAACTGTTCTGCACTCTTCACTTGCTGCGATTATCGCCTTCTTCCAATTGTTGCGCTCCACACTTAACACAGGCTCCAACAACAAACAAACTAACAAACAGATTTCGATTTCAATTCGCCTTTCGAGCGATCCGCGCACTCTGACTTCTCAACAAACACTGCGAGCCTCGAAACCGAAACGCCTGAAGACGACAAGCAGCCAATTTTTATAAAATTCGAGTAATTAGCGAGAGCTCCAAACAATGAACGAGCGGTGCAAGCGAGCGAGCACACGACTGCGGCTATTTCAGTGTATTTGAGTGTATTCGGGTGTGTGAGTGTGTTTGAGTGTGTGAGTGTACGAGTGTTGCTAAGAGAAGCGCGCGCGCGCACCCGCCTTGCATACACTTCAATGGAAAAGCGTAAGGGTATATTGTTTTTGGTCTTTATGTTTGCAACTATGGGTGTTGCCTCAACTCCTGGATAAAACTGAGAACTTTAATTTTCTTGCAAAGAATTATAACAAGCAAAGAACCAAATTATTTGTATGGAAGAATCAGTCTTTCCACATCAAGAAGAACAAATATTTGGTCTGCACTAGTTATAAATTATCACCTTAAGACAATTACCAGCGATCGCACTTCAGTCTTAAAACTCAAGCACACTTGCAATACAACGTCTAAATATCCTAAATTATATATATAACTATACACATCATACACTTATATTAATACAAACAAATAAAATAAATAAAACGTCAAATAAAACTAAATCAAATTTGTAACTAAATTAAATCAAGCTGACTTAAACTAGAAATAAATATGTAATGTCTAAAGTAATCTGGTACTTGTAACGCTTGGATGTGTTAATAAATAAATAATAAGTGAGAATAGAAGACCAGCCGTTAGATACATAGATGAACCGTCTGTTTATTTCTATTACAATACTAATTTGAGATCGATCACATTAAAATTGCATATTTGCATATACAAGTATGTATGTCGAGACCGACCATGTCAGATCAGTAAATCAATAGCTGTCATACAAACAATATGACTTAAGAAGAGTTTAGAAGTATATAGTATACTAGCGTCCTGCCCCCGCTTCGCACGGGTATTTAACAAAAAATTTTTCAAAAATTATACAATTTAGGAACATGCACCTTTCGTTTTGCTATGAGTTAATAAAGAAGAGTAAAATTATAAGCATAGTTTTTTTTTAAGATTTTTTTGTTATTAGCATTATTTGATGTTATTTTATTTTGTGGCAGCAAAATTAACTAATTTTCGGAGCTCCGACCTGCGATGAGTAAAACATTCCTTTCATAGGTCGATTCCTACTAATTCGAAGGTTAGGCCTTGGGTCTAGTTAATAGTTAACGCGAAAGATGTTTTTTGAAGCCATTTAAATGAGATTAATAGATCACTTGTCTAGTTAGTTGACCATTTAAATTGTCCTGCAATTCCTTAATAAAGCAGCATCGTCCCATTGCACATGTTCAGCGGGCTTTAATTTTTCAAAAGCATGATTGGAATCCCGATTTTTAACCTCAATCCATGCGGCGGCAGCCAGAAGTGCTTAGAGAATTTAAAAATTCCTGTGGATAATGGACTGTGCCATCGATATTAGTCATGATGTCGATCGATTTTTAATTTTTTATTTGGCTGGGGACTTTTGAATATTATTTCCTTAATAACTAAAGTGAATTTTTTAGTTAATTTGTTTACGCCTTGGGTAACATCATTGGCGGTTTAGTAAGGATTTCTATCCTTTTTGCCAATATAATACAAGTATAACCTATGTCAGGCGGGGATAGTGTTTCTTCCCAACAGCGAAAGAATCCTTGAAATCGGTCCAGTAGTTTCGGAGCCTGTTCAGTCCAAATAAACAAACAAACAATCATCATTAGTAGAAATAAATATTTGATTGTAATGCACTTGTAAAGAGTGTATAACCTCGGCGCAGACGAAGATAGCTTCTTAGATCGTTTAATGCTAATAATAATCAAAGAGATCGCAATGTAAGTGTGTAGGTGTGTGTGTGTATGCTTGTGTGTGACGACAGTGTAATTGATGCAACAACAATACCAGAAGAAAAGAACCAAGCATAAGCATAAAAGTAGAACAGGCAGAGGAATTATTAACTCTGAGAGCAACAATGTTTTCAGAACATGTACATATGTATACTTACATACATACTATATATGCGTCTACATTTAGTATCTAGGTGTATGTATTTACCTAACGGTAACAGTGACGTCAAAGTGCAGTTATCGGCAAGAAATCGGTTTATGATTTATTTAACATAATAAGCCCACATTTATTGGCTGCTATTTTCTAGTGCAAATATTGGGATTCTCGCCCACTCGCATACTCGTGACACCTAGCAAATTTTTCCACAAAGGTTTGCCTCCAGTTGCCTGCCAATTTCAATTCGGCAGATTCTTGTGCTATAAAGTGACGCCCATGTGGGTTATCTACATAAGTGCAATCAAAATAAATAATGCTTTGATTTTAATGGGCGCCAACGAACTTTTCCATTTGAGCGCCCCGTAAAATCTCAATTATTTTACAACACGTTTTAAACTCGTCGTCGCTGCCAACCTTCATTTGCTTTGTTGACGAAAAGTGAGCGAGCATGTGCAAGTCATTCGTGCTACACGAGAAATTTATGAGTTGATATTAATTTGATTGATTTTGTGGCTTATTCAGACATCCGCCCAATGTTTCAGAAAACAACTAAGACTGGCCAATAAGTGCTGCATACTTTTATGATGCCACATAAAATTGCTGATTGGATCATTGTTGGGTTTCTGTCCAGGCTAAAAAGCTGTTTTATGTAAGTACATATATTATTCTTTGTTTTAAAACCACCAATAATTCTTAATCTATTATTTTTAAACGTTTTCTGTATTATTTATCTTCACGCTTAGAACAGCTGCAACAATATCGACACCGTTAGCCTTATTTAAACAATTTTAGGTATTTTAACGAAATACATTTTATTTGGTTTACAGTGACTTGAAAAGTTGATCTTAAATCTTTCTTAACAACACTTTGCTGATCTACTCGCTTAAATTCTGGTAATGAACTGACTTGTTTTTCGAATTTAAATATAGTCGTCGTTCGCTTCAGGACGAGATTCGTAACTTATCGTGAAATTGAGGCACGTTTGAACTCGAGTACTTCATATTAATTAGTAAACATTTGGGTGTTAAAAATATTTAAAATCGTAGATACCTCTTTAATTTGTCAATTTGGTAGACATTTTTATAAACAAAAAAGTTATGCAAATAGTTTGCTTCTAGAATTGGTGCTTGAAAAATACATCCTATAGAAGTTTGTTCTGGTCGAAAACTGTATGTAGTACTTGTAGAGAATTATTATTGATTTTAATTAGACAAACATATTGAAGACGAAATTCGACAAATCTCATAGGGACGCACATGTCTATATCGATACGTCGCGTCATGCTGATCATAACTTGGGGTCTGGCACGCTTCCTTCCTGTTGTTATATTAGTACATTTTAGATTTTCTAGTATACCCTTTTCCCATTCGGTCTAGTTTGTTTTTTGTGGAAAGGGTCTGCATCCTTTAATATCCTTTTTAAAGTACCCTCATAACATATAAAAGGGCTTTACGATCGGGTCAAAAAAATGCAAAATATGTCCTAGGTCGAATATGGTATAAAAATGGGAGAACTTGATTTGAATTATATGTAGAACTCTAGCCGATAGTTTCTTTTTGTTTCGCGACAATAAATCAAGCAATAAAGTGCTTAAAATGTGATTTTATGTGCAGACCATGTCAGAGCCGACATTTGACATATAGCCACACCATATATTTTAGCCGAACAACGCCCATTCCTGCCTGTCCTTGGCTGGCATGACATCGCGCGTTTTCGCCATAAGCCTTTATGGAAATGGCTGACGTAACAAAGAAAAGTGTGAAGGAAAATAATTTAGCGACCAATGAAAAGTGACATACACGCGTCGCACGAGTATGTGCGGGCCTGTGCCTTGAATCATGGCATCATAAATTTGAGGCGGAAATGGCAGGCGCCATCCAAAGGCGAATGTATGTATGACAGTATTAATTAATTAGGCAAATTAAAAGTTCACTGCTCGCAGCTGAATTCGAGAAACCTTAAACTTATAAGTACTACTTACATACTCGTAAGTTGGCAGGAAGTTGTGGGCACTGGCGGAAGCTTCTATAACTCTCGGCGGGCAGCGCACCTTTTCTTTTGCAATTGTCGCCGCTTAATGGGCACTTACCGAATCGCTTTTAAGATCGAGTTCAGCTCACATCGCCGCTTATCGTCCGCCGCTAGCAAATTTTCATCAATTTTTTATGGCTGATCTTAATGGGCTTTGTTTTTGCGCAACACGTACAAACATAAATACTATTTATATATATGTATTTACAAATGTTGTATGTTTGTGCCTTTGGAGATTCGTGTCCAAGTCACAAAAACAAATCGACTAGACGGGCAGCCAGCAAAGCGATTTTCTTGGTATTCTAAAGAGACAACACACATTGTTAGGAATATAAGTATAAATATGTATAAGTATGTTGTATGTACTATCCATTCAGAGCTAACTGCGCACACTCGTTAAGAAATACACATTTATGCCCGATTCTACAAAATAATTAAATAAACACAAAGCGAACTCCGTACAAGCTTTTGAGCGCTTGTGCTTCAGCTCACACTTGTCTGTCAATCATTGGCACCATTCCTCTTGCGGAGGAGCAGCGGCAGGGAAAAAATTCCCAATTTTAATTGCCTGCAATTTTGACGGCAGCCACAACGTCGTCTGCGGAGAAGCCGGTGGCGCACGCGTCTTGTCCGAATTCTGTTTTTGTTGCTTTTGTTATCGTCGTTGTAGGCAGGAAGTACAGTTGCCGGATTGGATCGGAACGTGGCCAGTTCTTGTTTATTGGCTTACTGAACAAATTCAGCTGCACACGCACTTAATCTGGATCTAAATTAAACTATTGAATAAACAACGACCAAACATCATAAACAATACATGAGCATGTCATTAAGTGCGAGTGTCAAACGTCAAGCCTTAAGCTCTGAAAAATTCCCACGACATGCCGTGTCAATAGCAAAGGCATTTCAAAGCGCTTTCAATAGCACAACTTAAATAATAACAATAACACTGACGCAGA